GGATGAACTGGAGTACTTCCCCTCCTCCTCAATGTCGACGACACCGACCTCCCTGGCAAGAGGGCTCTTCGGACGCTCCTCTTCTCTCTTCACTGGCAACCAGCTTTTGTCAGGCTTGCCCTCTTCCTTCACTCCTGTCTTCCCGTCTCTCCACGCAGCAAGAGAATGGATGGATGCAGGACTCCTCGCCATGGATGTCGCTGTCCTTTCTGCTGCCTCCCGCTGACGCGCCACTTCACTGTGCTTGTCTGCACGCTAGTCCAAATCCGCAAGAGGTCGTCCAGGATGTGCCAAAACCTGTGGCGGCTGCGACAGAACGAGCACAGAACTTCGGTCTCCCCGGTAGTTAGGAGGCCGCAGTCCCTACAGTGCATCAGCTGCTTTCGAGCCAAATTCTATGAGAAAAAAGGACTACAAAACTGGTCGTCTTATCTTCCGGGGGCGTCATTCCATATATATATATATAAACGAGTCAAGTTCCAAGGATTCTAAGGGTTCCAGGACGCTCTTTGCTGTTGATGCTTTCAATGCTCTCTGAATTGAGGCAAATTGCGTAGCACAACCTGAGATCAAAACGATGCCAGGACACAAAATCTCAAAAAGTTGCTCTAGATCAAAAGGGAGCTACGCTTGATGTTTTCCAATCTGTGCTACCATTGGTTTCTGATTTGCCCCAAATGCCGCTGGCACCTTCTGCTAGCATTTGGATCTTGCAGAAAAGGCACTACCATGGAGAAGGAAATGCCAATGGCTGCAATCTGAGAGCAAGACTCATAACATCAGCTCATGCTTTGTGACAATTGGCAACAGCAAAGTGGAAGTATCAAAACAGCGCAGCGATGCCATCCACGCCAGGAGCGTGACACTTCTGGGCTGCCCAGCGTCATCTTCAGCTTCCTGCTCGGTGGGCGGTGTGCACGTGTGCACTGGCGTTGGGCACTATTCACGGGCCCTGCGGCCCTGCCTCCGGCCCTGTGGCCCGAAAAAAGGCCCTGTTCGGTGGATTGGGACCATTCTATTCAGCGACAAACAAGTCTATCTGGCAAACAAAAACAAGCATCTTTGGACCAACAATTATGGCGTGAGAGCTCTTCTCTAGTGTATGTTGCATAAAAGGAGGATGTTTTCAAAGACCTGGCTGACCAAAGGGAGATCACTATTCAAGACTCAAAACCTGTTTGATGGTTTTACAACTGCCCAAGTGCTGGTGTAACTGGTCCAGAAATACTGGAAGGGGTAGGACATGACAGAATCCAATTGAATATGATTTATATACCCAAAACACCCAACTGGCAAACGCCGCTGAATCTGCGTGCCTCTGCGCCCTCCTCCCACATATTGAAGCCAGCCGTCGTTGACGAGGTCATATAGCGGCCTTGCGTGGTGCGTACACTAAAATTGATTTGTAAAAGTATGAAGCCCTCGTCAAAGGAAGACCAAAGACTGGCTCCATTCCGAAACACTTCAGAGCTTGACCAAGTAGCTTCGCAAACCATCGGACAGCTTGAAGATTCCAACTAGGAGGAGTGCCTTGAAGATTTCAACTGAGCGCAGAAATGCAAGGAAAAGCTCCAATGCCCCTTTGACCACCTACTCTTGTGCATACTACTCTCCGCTTTCGCTGACACAAAACTCACACCAAGAACGTAAGCAAATCAATTTGATGTAAACTATTAGAATTTGCTGCTGTGAGGATCAGGCATTAAGTAGAGTTGGAACCACAACCAAGTAGCCATCCTGCACTCTGCTGCTTGAGTAATCTCCCGACAAGGTAGTGAGCTTCAAACAAGGTGGTCTACGTCAGCAGGAAATCTGTGCACCTATATATATATATATATATATGTACCGCCGTACCGCTTGACTTCCAATCATTCCAATGCAAGAAGGAACTCTTTGCTGCTCCGTGAAATTCCAGGCACTGTGAGACAAATCTCACACTGCGGCGGTCACTCCAGTCCTTAAAGATTTCCAGCTGTTGCAGGTCCAGACTGCACCGGATGTGTGCAAAGCCCGCCATGTGGGACAGGAGAGTTGCCCAGCAAGCGATCTGCCAGCGGATTTCTGAAGGTTCACATTGATGCTCGTGAGAAAGGAAAGAGTCTCGAAAAAGAACATGTTTGATTCCAGCTATCACCACCCCACTAAGGGGCTTGCACAGGCCATGTTGATGTGCGTCACCAATTGCTATTCTGATGCCGTCATTGTTTTGTCGTTGCTGCTGTCATTGCGTCTTCTCTTGTCACAGGTGTTTTTATTGTGGCTTGTCACTGATGTTGCCTTTGTGGTTTGTTATGCATGCGGCCATTTGTGACTTGTCATTGATGTTGCGGTGGATGTAGCCAACACTGCGACTTGTCATTGATGTTGCCATCATGGCTTGTCATTGTGGTTGTTGATTGATGCTGTAGCTGTCCTGGTGTGTTGTTTTGGGGTTGGGCTACTGTCAGATTGTGCATTGCAGGAGCACTGATGTGGACTAGACTACTGCAAGGATACCAGGTGTAGCCTTAGAGTAGAATCAAGCGCTTTACTCAAGTTAACCTCCAACCCGGTCTTCCTTTGTTCTCACCACACATCTTGGACAAAAGCACCAAAATTGGAACGCCAGCCTGGCGCCTGCGTCTTTGTTCAAAGGTGCCATTTTCCAAGGAGGCCTCGATCGCAACAGGCTCATGACTCACCCCGTCGATTAGTGATGCGGAACAACCTGGACCGGTCGTCGTTGGCCGAGAGGCCAAAACGCTACTGCTCCGTTGCACCGCTGCAATCTCCGTGGCAGAGTCCTCTTTCCTTTCACAAGACGACAGATCCGATTTTGATGCAACACAAGAAACCAGAGCGACGCATCAGGAGAAAGTCGTCAGTGCGGCTCACTGAGATCCAGTCGAGTAGGACAAGTTGTACAGGATCAAGTGAAGAGTGCCTTAGTAGCTCAAGCACACCGTGCAGGCAGCACAGGAAACCCCCTCGTCCGTTACGCTTTCATTGAGCAAGGAACAGTAGAAAATGAAGAACATGAAATAGGCGAAGCCTGAGCCACACCATGCCACCAAAATGCTTGAAAGTCGGACAAAGCCACTCAAGTCAAGAATAAAGAAATGTCGGAGCTCCTGCTGATGTTGTCCAAAGTTCTTGCTTTGGTACTTTGACCGGAAGACGAACTGCTAGTCTCACCCTACGGTAGGGTCCCATGGTTCACAATTTTGGATAAATCAGTTCAGTTTGAGCAACAATTGAGTCTGAGTTGTCATATTCTCAAGAGTCTAGAACAAAGATATACAATAGTTCTTTCGCTCAGGCGCATGGTCTATGCAGTTGCCTCCATTTGCTCGTGCACATGGCATGGACTGATGGACGAAGAGTGACGCAGAAACCAATCTTTGCAGCTCAGAAACCGATCTTGGCGGACGTTTGATGCGACTGTGATTGGAGATTGGTGTCGCTGATAGCATCAGATACACCTGTGATGCCCTGGCATGTTCGGTTGCAATGCCTACAAAACCAAACGCTTCACAGGATATGATTTCTGGTTTCAACTAGGTGCCACGTAATGAAAATCACAAAGAATGTCGCTATCTTGGCTGGGAACCCAATCCCTCAGAGAAGGCCTGGTGTTCTCTGAAGGCCGCGCTTGCAGAATTTTGAGCGGTGGGAATAGCTCTTGGGACAACAACTCTCTCCCCCCGAAAAGGCCTGGAATAGCAGAACTGAGACAAAAATTGAAACGGTGGCATTAATCACCTGAGTTGGATCAGATCAGCTAAATTCAGATATAAACACATGCAAAAGAAACCCTATGGCCATAGTACAACTGGAATGTGGTGCCTAAAAGCTGGTATGAGTTTTGTTTCGAGCCACTTTCCAGGTGTGCTGTCGAATATCCATGTCCGGATGATTCCTCAGCTAGCACAGTACGACCTCACAAAAGGAATGTCTGTCGTTCCTTGCGAAAGAACGATGCAAGTTGAATATGTGCGGCCAAGAAACACCAAGTAGAAGAGAGACATCACAAAGGTAACGCCTCCCAATAGAAATGTCGCCGCGGTCAGGTCCTTGCTCTTTGGCTCCTGGCATTCGTAACCACTGCTCTGACCGATTGCCAAAGTGGCTTGGTTGCTGCGACTTGGTTGTTGTGCCTCATCTTCTTCCGGTGGAGTAAGCCCTGCCATCTCTATCTCCTGGCAAAAAAACATTTGAAAGCTTCGTGCCAATGTGCAACTAGGTGCCGTTGATACCATTGGTACCAGTTCTGCCACTTGAGCATTACCCGCTGCTGCAGTCACTCCTGAGTTATCACATCATCGATCTCACGATATTCTCCCTCCTGAAAGGGACAACAAGCACGGCAAGTTTATCAGGACACTTCAAGATTGAGATGTTGGTGCCATGTCATTGTAAGCAATGCCCACAAGCCTTGCTTGCTGCAAGCGTTGCAAGGAGAACTGGCAACCACAAGTAGAGGCCTGACAAGGACAAGCTGACCAAAAAGCGTATGAGAAGCCATGTATCCCAAAGTTCGCAAGCATGTGATTTGATCAAGTTGTAGACACTTCCACACCAACCCTGGCTCCAATGTGTCGTCACTCCAGCCGTGCCTCTCATGGTTGGTCGCCAATTTGCACAAGCATAGAGAACTGATGGATCCGCTTACCAACCAATTGCTTGAAAGCCATTCTTAAAGCTTAGTTAAACATTGTTAAACAATAGTATCTGGTTCTCGCGCAAGCGTCTAAAATCATTATGCAATGCTGCCATACTGTTTGTGCCCTATGATATCTGGCCACTTTTGGACCGCTTGACCCAGCGCAGGAGCGGCGAGGAACAGGGGGCTGGGGGGCACTTCACCTGAGAAAAGTGTGCAGTGAACAACAAACACTCGTCCGAGCTAGGCAGGCTCCTTGAAATTGTGTAAGAATGTTCCCAAACAGTTCCCACAGGCAGAGTGGACATGGAACTGAAGATGAGAAAGCCACGACAAAAGCTGCAGCAGCCAGAAGTGCCTAGCAGCCAGAACAGCCTCACGTGCTGAGGAAAGATCCCCAAGGGACAGGAGACACTCAACCTGAGCAGTGCTAGCAGATTCTGGTGTTAACTGCTGTGAAGTCGACTAGCAAAGTTGCTAACCACTGCATTATCACTCTCCTGCTGTCAAAGGACAGAACTCTGTCCTACCATCTGCCTCTTCTTGCCACCGAGGCAGCAGCTCCAAACTCCCATGGGTCTCCAGTCAGACGAGAAAGACGCTTAACCTCGTGCAAGGGCTTAGAAGGGCTCAAAAAGGCTCAAGCGTACAGGAGGAGGATCAATAAAGTCTCAAAACAAAAGAAAGCAACTAGTGTTCTGTTCTGTCTAAACTGTGGCTGCCCATCTGAGCCACAAACGACTTCACCTGGATCTGTGAGATGTCTAAGCTTCGCCTGCCCCAGTCCCCTCTACGGGTAAATGGTTCCTCTAAATGTTCAGGATATTTGACTCCTTCCTGTCGCTCTCCACTTTAAATGAAACCAATTTCTACTATACGTTGAGGAACGGTTGTGACCTTCGAGCAGAAATATGCTGCCTTCCCCATCCTGAAGCCCCGGCCTTGAGGTCTTCGTTCTTGCGCTCGTCTTGCTGTTCGTAAAGAACATCTTCATCTGCCTCTGTTCTGTTTGATGCTCCCTGTGTTCTCCTTTGGCCTTCCGTCTCAACCACTTGCTGTCTGCATTCACAAAAAGGGTCTAAGTCTATGAGTCTATGACGTTCAATCTCTGAAATACAGCAGCATGAGTCTGCTAGTGTCCTGCAGCTTCATAGAAGATTCCTGCTCCATCTGGCCAGACTTGTACAACTGTGCCTCAGATGATACGCTCACTGGAAGTGCTGGCAGCTTGAGCCCGGCACTTGACTCATAGCACTCTTTCCTACTTCTCATAGGACCAACCAACTGCAGGATGTTTGGAATATCAACGATGACAACAGTCGAAAGCGACTGTTGTAAAGCCGATCGATGCCCAAGGCTTCAAGCCCACTGTCTCCGTCGTTGCTCAAAGCGCTCTCGGGCGGTGGAATGCTGAGGATCCTTGCACAAAACACAAGTGATGAAAACGTCCTTTAAAAAAGCAAGACACAAGAACATACAACTACCTGCCACCATAGTGCTCTCCCTAAGTTTATGGTCCAGAGTCCAGACCCTGCAAAATCCCTGGATCTTGCCAGAAGGAGCCGTGAGGAAACGTCGACCCGAGAATCAGGATTACTTCATACTCAGCATGTCAACGACAGGCAGAGTAAAATCTCCTTGGCCTCCGCTTTGCCGCGGGGAGTTGGTCGGTTTTTCGAGGCCTGCGCTTGAGAATGTCCTGTGGGTCTTAGTGGTCTTAGTGCTAAGAACTCAAGAACAGGGCTTGAGACTTCAAGCATCTTGCGGGGCTTGGTAGGGTATCCTACTACTACTTGCTGTTTACTCCACATGTGCAGGATCTCTTCAAGAAACAGTGCTTGTTCATCAGTTCTCTGCTTGTGCTCAGAATTGGCCCTTCCGAAAGCCATCAGCGAACAATAGTGGCAGAAGACAATGCAAAAAGACCTTCAGCTTTGCACTTGAAGCAGCTGCACCCATGGCGCAAGCAATGCTGCCAGACCTGACAAGGAGAAGTGATCAAAGTCTTAGCTTCTGAATTGAGCATTTTTTCTAGTCTTGCGTCTTGCGAAAAGGCACCACAAATATCGCCCTTAAAATGGCTCCCACAAGCAACATCCTCTGAACAAACATAACGTTCGATCAAGGTTTGCCATTTTCGGATCTATGGACAATCGAGAACAAGTTTGAAGTGCCAATCCTTCTGTGTTTAATTTCACGATTCACAACTGGTTCACTTCTGTTCCTTGTTTTCCGCCACAACATGTCACTCACTACCGGCCTGGACTGCAACAGCTTTCTGGATGGTCTAGTCTTGGCATCCAATGTATGCCTTAAAAGGTTTACAAATGCTGGTTTCTAGCTTGGGAACTTCAGAAAGCGTGGTGTCAATATGCGAGCAACAGCTGACAAACACCGAAAATCGAATGCCTCAGCCTCAGCCCCCAGGCATTGGACCAGGTCCACGGAATCTGCGGAGTCCATGGAGTCCGAGTTCCACTTGCCGCGTGGCACCTGGTTTGATTCGCAAAGCCACCTGTCCTTCGGCCAAGTGCCTCCGTTTGTTTACTGCATGAGTCCATGACCGTCCATGACTTCAGGAAAGCTGGCATCGACCGTCGGATTTGTCGTTTCATGGTCTTTGTGTTTTGATTTTTGTCTCGTTTCGCTGCGACTGCTTCGCTTCATCAAACGGTTTGGCCGGATTTGGCGTCTGCTTGGGCAGGATCGGTGCGCCTAGCAATGGCCCTCTAGAAAGAGAATCCATTACATGCCGCCAAGCGGAAAGAATGAAGAGGTGAAAGCATGTCAGCTGTTGTGTGAAGAGGGCGCACCATTGAAGTGAATCTCATTGAAACTTTGTTGTGCACTCTTTGAGACTCCTGTTGGCTGTCACTGGCGAACTTGTTTAACTCTGGACTGCACTTGACTTTGAACATTTTGCAAAACTTGAGCCACAGCGTGCTTTGCGATTGGAATGCTGGCAGGAATGTGGTTGGATGCATGTTGTGCATCGGTAAACCCTCAAAGCTCTATGTCATGTAATAACACAAGCAAAGCAACTGACGAAAATGCAGCTGGTAGCGAGCAGTCTCTATTTCTGTTGATGGGATGCTCGAAAATAGAACATGAAAAACTAAATTCTACAGCACGTGGATCCATGTATGTTCCTTTCTTCAATATGTGCTGTGTCATCCCGTGCAGGCCGGACTTGTATACACCGCATGGCCTGTTAGCCGGTTGACCTTGCACCATCTGAACTCAACTCTGCCTCTTGTTGCATCTGCTGCGCAAGTGCTTCGATTCGATCATCCTTGAGGACTTCGAACTGCCGCGTGCGGACACCGGTCGAAAGCTAAGGCTCGCAACCGGGCCAGCTCACTAGCAGCGCTGCTCGCTGGTCGGCAATCAACTTGTTGATATTGTGCGCACAACAGTAGCCAGAGCAGAACGAGAGGAGCCCAAATTGCCAAAAGTTCAGATCAGCATTTGAGGCCAGCTGTGCAGATGGCCATTGCAAAGAAAGGAGAAGAGGTTCGCGAGCGGCGTCGCGAGAGCATTGCAGACGACCAACAAGGTCAGTTTGGATCAGATCTGAGATTCTTTCGAAGTTGCTGCCTCGGAGGCCGCATTCGGCGACCCTCTCCAAATAGTTGTCCTTAGCACTTGTTGACCTGCCGGCGCGAGATGCACATGCGTGCCAGCGGCCACTCACGCGGCAGCATTGTGTGGAGGTTCAGGGCAGGGAGTGCAACCTGCTGAGTTGGGCTTTGGTGGGAGGCTTTGGAAGTTGTACATTGCCTGCATAGCAGCTTGCTCCGCTGCGATTGCCAGGTCAGTTGACACCGTGCCTGCATGCTCAATTGTCTTGCCAGGGGAGCTGTCGTCATCAAGGTAAATCTCCTTCATGGCACCTGACAGCATCGAGGGCATCAGCAGGCACCTCACCCAGCACCCCGGACAGGTGGCCGCTGAGGCTTCGGCTTGGGAGATGGACAAGCTGGCAAGCCCTGGCAGGGTCTGTGCAGGTTCACGCGTCTGCTCCTCCGGAGCTGTTCTCAGGTATGCTTCGCAGCAGGCCTGTACTGGCGCTGATTTGCGGTTTGGCAGCTTTAGATTTCATCGCACCTCAGTGTCCATCTGTTTCCCTTACACTGCGGGGGTGGGGACTGAGGAGAGTCGGCTGTTGAGGAGGGCTTTGCAGGACAGTCACTGAGGTGGCCGCCTGCTTTGCGACTGTCGGACTTGCGGCTTCTTCTTCACTTCCTGCCATGTGGCAGTCAGCCTCAGTTGCTTCTTCCGAGGGGCTTCAGTGTGGAGGTTCTCAGAATGCGCCTCTAGGTCGGATGCGGCAGTGCCACTAACGGATATGATCGCCTCAGACTCACCAGTCTCCATGGCAACAGCCTCTTCTTCTGCCTCTTCGCCTCTGGCTTGATCTGGGTCCTCTGCCTGTCCGGAGTGCTCAGTTGGGTCATCATCCGATGCAATCTGAACAGGGGAGTCTCCTTCATGTGTGGGCCAGCAGCATCCCCAAACGAAGGAGACCCTCATAGGGGGGGAAATGCCAGGTCAGACCCCTCTGCATCAAGAACCGGATCCGATCTCCAGGCATCATGGAAACAAATTTTATGCAATGCAAAGCGATAGTCTTGCATCTTTTTGCTTTTTTATTTGCACGGATCCAGACGCCTTGTGTGCAGAGGTTGCACAGGTCATCTTATGCTAGTAAAGAGAGAGTTACGATCTAGGTTGCAGAAGAGCAAAAAGCAAACCAAACAAGAACAAACAAACCCCAAACAACACAAACAAGAACATAGTCTTGCATCTTTTTGCAGGTAGATTCCCATGGGCAGGCAGATATTGATTCGATTTGTGCTACCCACGCTAAACCTGTTGCCTGCTTCTCTGCACTGCAGTTGTGCAGCAGCTTCCAGGTTCCTGTGTGCTGGCTGTCTGGAAGGACAATCCATGCAGAGGTCGTGCTAGCAAGTCCACTCTCTGTGGTGTGGCCCGGAAAGTGGACTCCATTGAGCATGTATGATTTTTCCGCATTGAAGAGAAGGGACAGGCTGGTAAGAACGAGTCGTAAGCGCCTCGCCTTGTCGTCATGGTGCTCTGTGGGGAGTTCATGTGGCTCTAGGGCTTCTGCGAAAGCGGAGGTGGCGTCTCCAATGAAGGTTGCAGCAACATCGAGGTGGCCTACGACTTCCGGCTGTGACGAATTGCTGGTGCGAAGGGTGCATACTCCGTGTAGAAGGGGCGATAACTTGCAGGGCACCTGGGATACCTTGCATATTGACAGGGCATGCGAGGACCGTAAGATCCAGCCTGACTGTAAGCTACATTTGCACGAATGTAGCATTCCGAATCAAAGTCACTGTTGTGCTGTTCCCACTGAGAAAAGTGGTTCGTCCATGCAACACGATGCAATGCCTCGCAGTGGCTCCCGCCGCTTTAACTGCTGTTTCCGCATTGGCTTGCTTGCCCTTGGAAATGTGCCTGCAGCGCAAGCGCGCTGTTACGGGTGGTGGTGAGGACCAGCGTGGCATCGCTACCCTCTGAGTTATGTGGCAGCAATCGCTCAATGTAGTTGTGCGTTTGAATGGTTGGCGCCGGGGGGGGATTTGCTTTGGCATCTTCATTGGTTGTAATGTGTTGCCAATCAACAAAGCGAAGTGCTGCAGCAACTTGGTGATTGGCCCTAATGGAGGCAGTTCCGCCACTCTTGCTGTCGATGGCCACACTCCCTGTCTCCAGTCTGCACTTACGCACGCTGGAACATGGCAGGGTCGTCTGGTTTGTTGGTTCCGCCCTGGGAAGCGGCGTGGCCAGGCACGCAGACCCCACAAGAGCCGGTGCAGCTGGAAGATGATGGAGAACCTGTTAATGTTACCTCGTTCGTTCGGTTCGAACTACAGCACAATGACATTCGCGATGGTGTGTTAGACGTGGAGGTTCAGTTTCCGTAAAAGAAAACGAGCTCAATGCTATCTGCTGCACTTCTTCCCGACAGATGCAGTCACCGAAAAGAGCAGAAACCCGGTCCCTGGGTGGACCGAAGATCTCACCTTCCCAGCTGCCTTGCAAAAGCTGACAGTCTCACATGAAGGAAACACCATTCATTTGTTCCATCAGCGGTGCATTGCCATTAGCGATCGAGGAGCCACTGTTTATGGTGACAACCGAGCCCATTTGCGCCGTATGATAGTGCATATAAATTACCATGAGCAACCGCTGTTGACCCTTGTGGGGAATCACGAAAAATATCGGGTAGCAACCTTATACGGTAAACTACCTGCTTCCCCTGGATCTTTAGCTCACAACAGGCTCTCACACTCGTCCGGTACGGTACGAAACCTTTCCTTCAAACCTCCGAACACTTCGGAAAACTTCAAACGCTGCACAAGCTGCTCTCAGACACTCGCACCCTTTTCTCACACTAACCAAACAAATTGGCCTTGAGCCAAAATATATCCCGTAGCATTAAACTATACAAAGAACACATCAAAAACATATTAAAAGTCCCTTAAAGTATCTCCACACACAAAGAACTCTTTCAAAACTTCCGACGACGCTGCAAGTCGCTTTCAAACAATTAAGAAACAAAATGTTGTACCACCGCCAGGTTCCAAATCTTTCACAAACAAACTCAAACGAAAATTATGCATCGCAAACTGCAAGCATCGAGCGAGGTGGACATCCCGACATGGAATTTCTTCACCCCCTCTTGGACACAAAGCTCGAAACGAACTGGCTGACTTCAAGCCTTCTTATTCTTCTTCAATGAGGACAGACATTTGGCGCAAATATCTTTCGACATAGGTACGCGCATGCCCGAGCAAATTGGATTCAAATGAGCCTTGCTCCCACTCACTGAAAAATACACCTTTGAGCATTGCTCAATGCCTTTCGGAACTGGTAAGATCTTCGGCATCTCGAATTTAAAATTCACTTGGCTCTCAGGCTCAGCATGCTCCCGACGCCGCAGGCAGCAGCAGGTCAGCAGGCATCCCAAAAGAAAACCGGCTGCAAAGGCCAAAGCGGCCAGGCTAAGCGCCGCAAGCGCCGTTTCCACATCCAGCATCATACCTCGGATGGTATAAGCTTCATTCCAAGAAAAGCTCTATCTCACAGTCTGCAAAAACCAAGATTCTTTCGAAATGCGCAATGGAAAGCGCTCGCAAAAACGTGCCATTCGGCTCAGACAACGTGCAAGACTTGCTTGGCTCTTATGCTTCTAATTCGGCTTTAAATCCTTAAAGGATTAGCTCGCAAAATTTTCTGGGGTAATGCTGCGTTTCCTTCCAATTGACTTACTTGGACGGCAAATGATCATGACGACCATCACAAACGCAAACCTTCAGGCTTTCCAACAATCGGGTACTATCGGTATCAATCCTCCAGGTCTTTCTGATCAACTGACCTTTCTGGCTCAACTTGACTGAACATGCATCCACAAATGTTGAAAACGTCTTCCGTTTCCTAAGAAAATCTCTAGTCTGATTCCATCCCCAATAAGCACATCTCTTCGGCCATTCAATCGCTGCAAAATCGGCTACTTCCGACATCCGTAAGAAACCTTTCCATAGCTTCGTCTGAATTCGGTACAATTCTCGAAGATGACCCATGTAGTCCTGACCAAATTTCTTGATGCAAATATACTGAAACGGACATCCTCCGGACACGGAATTGACGACCACAAGACAACAAGCTTTCCTTTCTTCCTGTGGGTCACCATCTGCTCCCGAACTGACTCGATCGTGT